ATCTTTAGTGTTGAAATTATTACTTATTACATATGTCCTCTTTTATCCACCCCCACCCACCACCCCAGGCCCTCACCACCCCACTGTCTGTGTCCATGGGTTATGTATATATTAATACAAGGTCTTTGGTTGATCACCTCCCACCCACCCACCTTCCCTCCGAGATTCCGCACTCTGTTCCCTGCTTCCATGTCTCTGGGTCCCCTCCGTTCATCAGTTTATTTTGTTACTTAGATTCCACATGTGAGTGAGATCATGTGATACATGTCTTTCTCTGATTGGCTTATTTCACTTAGCATGAAACTCATTAATTTCAGAGAGAAAGAGAAAAATCAATGATAAGAATCATTGATCAGCCCTAGCTGGTTTGGCTCACTGGATAGAGCGTCGGCCTGGGGACTGAAGGGTCCCGGGTTCGATTCCGGTTGAGGGCATGTACCTTGGTTGCAGGCATATCCCCAGTGGGGGGTGTGCGGGAGGCAGCTGATCGATGCTTCTCTCTCATCGATGTTTCTAACTCTCTATCCCTCTCCCTTCCTCTCTGTAAAGGATCAATAAAATATATTTAAAAAAAGAATCATTGATCAGCTGCCTCTTGCACACCCCTACTGGGGATCAAGCCTGCAATCCAGGCATGTGCCCTGATTAGGAATTGAGCCCTGACCTCCTAGTTCATAGGTTGACATTCAATCACTGAGCCATGCTGGCCAGGCTGAGCCAATAATTTGTAAGACTATCTTTACCACCCTGAAATGAATCTTACTGATAAAATAACCTACCTACACATATTATTTTATTTTTTTATTTATTATTATTTTAAATATATTTTTATTGATTACAGAGAGGAAGGGAGAGAGAGAGAGAGAGAAAGGAACATCAATGATGAGAGAGAATCATTAATCGGCTGCCTCCTGCACAACCCACACTGGGGATCGAGCCCACAACCCAGGTATGTGCCCTGATCGGGAATCGAACTGTGACCTCCTGGTTCATAGGTCGATGCTAAACCACTGAGCCATGCCAGCCGGGCCACATGTAATTTTAAAAAGAGCAATATAGCCCTGACTGGTTTGGCTCAGTGGATAGAGCGTCAGCCTGTGGACTGAGGGGTACCAGGTTCGATTCCGGTCAAGAGCATGTGCCTTGGTTGCAGGCACATGCCCAGTGGGGAGTGTGCAGGAGGCAGCTGATCGATGTTTCTCTCTCATCGATGTTTCTAACTCTCTATCCCTCTCTCTTCCTCTCTGTAAAAAATCAATAAAATACATATTTTTTAAAAAGAGCAATATAGTCTGGCCGGCATGGCTCAGTGGTTGAGCCTCGACCTATGAACCAGGAGGTCACGGTTGGATTCCAGATCAGGGCACATGCCATGGGGCCTGAAAGAAGCAGCCAATTAATGATTCTTGGTTAGCATTAATGTTTTTTTAATATATTTTGATTTTTTACAGAGAGGAAGGGAGAGGGATAGAGAGTTAGAAACATCGATGAGAGAGAAGCAGCGATCAGCTCCCTCCCGCACACCCCCCACTGGAGAAGTGCCCGCAACCAAGGTACATGCCCTTGACCAGAATCGAACCTGGGACTCTTCAGTCCCTAGGCCGACACTCTATCCAGTGAGCCAAACCGGCCAGGGCAGCATTAATGTTTTTATCTCCCTCTTCCTCTCCCTCTCTGAAATCAATAAAAATATATTTAAAATAAAAAATAATGGAAAATATGATGATTCTTTTAAAAGTAAAATAAATGGAGCAATATAATGCTCTCATTTTAATAGAACAGAAAAATGAAGGGAGAAAAACTTACAATATCCAATGGATAAACTAGATTTGAAAGCATGAGTTGGAAATTGGCACATACTTCTAGTGATAGCTTAGATTTAAGAGGTATTTCTTTAAATGGCTATTGAAAATACTTTTTCTTTATACTGGCTACCTTGAAATAATAACTAAATATTTGTTTATACATACATTGTGGGAAGTCATCCATTGTCTTCTCTATCAGAGGGGTGTGGACACGGATCCCGGAAGGCTGGTGACCCTTGAAGCCCTGGCGGGCTGTGCACCCACTGTTAGTCCAGACAATGGTAGCTGAAGCAACCTCCCCATTTATTATTATGTGAATCCTTCCTGATGGGCTAGTCTGCCTGTTACTGGAAATTGCCGGCCTAAGGGCTATGCTATGGGTGTATCCCAGATCAATAAGAGGTTGGCGAGGCCTGAGCACCAGTGGAAGTCCTTCCCCTTGAGTTGGACTTGCCCGCCTGGTCCCCCAATATTTCCAAATTATTATTTCTTGTCTTGTCTCTTTCATTTGCGTGCGGACCTCTTCCAGATCCTGAACCCTGAACCACGCGGGACGTGGAGGGAAACACTCAACAATACATCTGGTATCCCTGAATACAACAGACCCAAACCCAGCGTCACCAACACAGGCCTGTGGTGCTGGTGACCTAAATGCGAGGGCAGCTTTGCTATCAGTGATTTTTCCAACATGGCAGACAACTCTTGGTAAAATTCCAAACCAAACAGTACAGTCTTCATTTTACACAATAGTTGCATTCCTGGGAAATCCCGTGTATATTAAAACGGTGCAATCCTTTCTGCTTAGGTGCTTGGCTCAGGTCAGTATAAATGGCCTGAGTTATGGGGGTCAGTTCTTCAGGGTGAGAAATTGCCTCCTACTTGAGGCCATCTGACATTCCTGGGTCTGACTTCCAATGTCCACAACACCCCCAAACCCTCTGGGCAGCCATATCCCCCACCCCCACCCCCGCCCAGTCAGCAAGTGCCCCTGGCCCGGCACGTGTTCACTTCTGGTATGTGTTTGGGAGTGAACACAGGAGCTTGGCGCAGAGGCGGAGGTGGCCAGGGTGGGAGTTGGTATGTCGCCAGACTGTGCAAATCCAGCAAACGGCCTTTCTTCAAAGGCAGGGATGCTGGTCTGGGAGAGCACGGCCCTGCCTTTCCAGGAACCCCACGTTTCAGAGACCAGGGAGTGGCAGTCAGGGTTCACAGTGAGGCAGACTGCAAAGGATTAGGGGGGATTAGTGGACAGGAAATGAAGTTTACTCCTTAAATAGGACTATAATGACCATCACACTCACAGACATGACAAGAAAAATTGTATATACTCCTGAAGGCGGCTTTACGGATTAAACCTGCAAATGTATGTCAATGATGTCTAGTCTGTTGTAAGTCCTCGATGTTAATATGCTGGACACGGGACTTCCACTCTCCCTCATTCTATTTAGATCTTAAATCAAATCTGCATTTTTAGTATCCTCATTTTGCATACAAAAGATACCAAAGTTCAGCCTGGCCGGCGTGGCTCAGGGGTTGAGCATCGACCTATGAATCAGGAGGTCACGGTTCGATTCCCAGTCAGGCACATGCCTGGGTTGCAGGCTCCATCCCGGTAGGGATCTCATCATTGATGTTTCTATCTCTCCCTTTCCATTTCTTTCCGAAATATATATATTCTTTTTAAAAACAGATACAAAGTTCAGAAAAACTGAGAAAATGTGCTGAAGAAGATACCGTGCAGGAGGCCAGCCACCTGCTGAGCTGGGAGTCACAGGTACAAGGCCAGCATGTTGAGGTGCAGGTGACCACTGAGAGCTGTTAAGTGCTCAGAGTCGATCCAGGCCGTGATCAGCCCACCAGCCTCCTGGAACAGGGAGGGTCCTGACGAGATGACACAATGGACGGAGAGTAGCGACCGTTGATTTCGCTTCCGCTGTGAGCCAGGCTCAGCATGAAGCTGTGCTCCATCCCCTGGTTTTCCACTCGGGCACGAAGAGAGAGGCATCGTGGCTCATCTTCCTGACCGGAGCTGGAGGTGATGGAGGAGAGGTGGCCAGGGCGGGACTTGGTATGTCGCCAGCTGAGGGAGTGCCTGCCTGAGGAGGGTCCTTCCGAACAGACCCAGAGCTGTGGCCGGCAGGCAGGGCGGGGAGGGACAAAGGGGAGACGGCCTCAGCCCCAGCTGCCTGCAGGTCCGGGGAGGCCCTTGACCAGGGGAGCCATTCTCTCAATTCAAGCACCACCCCTGCTACCTCTAGGAGGTGAGATGCCCAGGCCCCTGGACGGGTGTCTGAGGGAGAGCCGTGTTTCTGTGCAGGCCTATCAGCAACGAGGGGAAAGCAGGAGGGAACGGGACCGGTCAGCTCAGCCCTGGGGAAACCCATTACCTTCAGGTACCGTGCTAATATCTGGCATCCAGATACAGCTCTGAGCCTCATTCCTTTCTTTTTTTAAAATATTTTTTATTGATATCAGAGAAGGGAGAGGGAGAGAGAATAGAAACATCAATGATGAGAGCGAATCATGGATCAGCCGCCTCCTGCACGCCCCACACTGGGGATCGAGCCCACAACCCGGGCCTGTGCCCTGACCGGGAATGGAACTGTGACCTCCTGGTTCATAGGTTGACGCTCAACCCCTGAGCCACGTGGCCGGGCTGACCACGTTCCTGTCTTACTTGCTCCCTATTCCCCTCAGACCTGAGGCTGGTAGCGGGCCCAGCCCTGAGCATGGCCTCCCGGGCCCAGGAAAGTCACACTTGGCTGGGTCTGCAGCCGCTAAGGACTGGGACCCACGCGTGCTCTGGCTTTTGCTGAGGGTGTGGTGAGGACCCTCAGTGTTTAAGGGGGAAAGGAGCCCGACTACTCCCTTTTCCAAGAAAGTGTTTCCTCTCATCTTTCTCACTGCTCCTGAGTGGGTGGTGCTTTTGGGGGTCTTTTACAGGGCTGCCTGCTACAAGCTAGCATCTCCCAAGACGATCATCATCACCCAGAAACGTGGGAATTATGCCCGACCGGCATGGCTCAGTGGTTGAGTGATGACCTCGGAACCAGGTCAGGGCACTGTGGGCTTGATCCCCAGTGGTGAGCATGCAGGAGGCAGCTGATCAGTGACTCTCATAATTGATGTTTCCATTTCTCCCTTTTCCTTCCTCTCTGAAGTTAATAAAAATATATTTAGAAAGGAAAAGTGGGAATTGCACCAGGATCCCAAAGACGGTAAGTATTTTCTTCCTTTGAGGAGAGGAAGAGTATGGGACCCCTTTGCTGCACACCAGGCCACTGCCCCGCTGCCTCTGGGGCATCCAGCAGCTCTGAGGACACCCCATTCCCAACCTCAGAGCTCACCTCCCCTGTCCCCTCCCCCCTCCTCAGAGACCACACACACACGGCTGCTGCAGGGAACTTTAATACGGCACAAGCTGCCTCTCCGTCTTGGACTTACAGGTCAAAGAGGAAGGGCATCACACCTGTAAGAGAAGAAGAGTCAGAGGAGCCCGCCGCCCTGCAGGTGCTGCTCCGAGCCCGGAACCCTCACAGGTGGTCTTTCTCTGAGTGGGAGGAGCTCCTCAGACCTTTTCCTAGAGCAGAAGAGCCTCAGAATCTGCATCCTGGTGTCCAGCAGAGAAAAAGCCCCTTTTGCACACCATCTCTCATGCCAGGCCCGACACTGTGGCCGCCATGTCCCCAGGCTGCTGGCCTGTGAGTAGCACCAATGGCATCTGAGCTGTTTCCCCATCAACTCCCTGGACCCAAGTTCCACACTTGTGGGTGGGTCCCACCTAAGGCAGCACCCTCCCCCCACCCCATCTCAGACCTGCTATCCTCTCCCCTTCCTCCCATGGCGTGTTTCCTTCCTTGCACATCCAGCCTCGGGCCAGGATCTTCAGGCCTCCCCGCCCCCCCCCCCCCCCCCACACACACACACACCATGAGGCGGGGCCTCGCACCTGGCTGGCTCATGCACTGCTGGATCCTTTCCAGCTGCGCGGAGGACAAGGCCCGGGCCTCCTCCTCGAAGCGGCGGCGTCCCTCCTCCGTCAGCTTCCAGAGGCAGGCCCCGGCCTGCGTGCTGGCCCGCACTTTCTCGAAGCTGGCTCGGAAGCAGAGGTTGTGGCGGATGGTGTTCTTCCAGCCCTCGGGCGCCGTCCGGAAGAAGGGGAAATGCTGTCTGAGGACAGGGCCCCGTGAGGACAGGCTAGGCCCGCCCTGTCCTTGAGCATGTCTCCCCAGGGGCCAGGACCCTCAGCCCTCCCTCCAGGGGAAGGCTCTTTGCTGGTTGTGCCCGTGGCAAAACCTCCACTTGGTATATGGTGGGTACAGACCCTCATCTTTTAAATGAGGCCCTTTCCTGCCCCGACCCTAGGATCCCTAGCCTCCCTCGCTCTGAGAACTGAGGACCTTGACTTGCAACAGCAACGGAGTGTAAATTAGGCCAACCAACTCCTGGAGGAGGCACCCTGGTCAAGGAGGGATACCACTCGAGGATGAATATTCTGAGGCTCTTCTGCTCTAGGAAGAGGTCTGAGAGACCCCACACGTGTGTGTACATGACCACCAGAGCTCTCGGTGAGTCCCTTCTCAGTGATGTGCCCCGGGGTACGGGGAGCTGTGCCCAGCAGTACTGTCCACAGCGAAAGCATGGGGGAGACTGTTGCGGAACCCAGACTTTATACTAGATGATCTTTAGAGGGAGGTGGGAGAATTTGTCACCCAGGGGAATTTATGTTTTAAAGAACTAAGATGATACCTGGCCAGCGTGGCTCAGTGGTTGAGCATCGACCAGGAGGTCATGGTTCGATTCCTGGTCAGGGCACAGGCCCGGGTTGTGGGCTCGATCCCCAGTGTGGGGCGTGCAGGAGGCAGCCAGTCAATGATTCTCTCTCATCATTGATGTTTCTATCTCTCTCTCCCTCTCCCTTCCTCCCTCAGCAGCTCGGAGGGAGAATCAATAAAAATATATTTTTAAAAAAAGAACTAAGATGTAAAAAGAATCGAGTTTTCGAATGTGAGAGCGGATGGAGGTGGATGTCTTCCCTACATGTGATATGTGGACACACATCTAGGGACAACCCAGAACCAGGGCCTGGGGGAGGGGCTGGGAACACACCTGTCCTCTTGGGTCTGGCAGCAGCCGAGGGCTGGGTGGACTGGCAGGTTGCAGACCGGGGCCCCACCCCTCCCCCTCCTCACGCCCCGCACGGCACATACCGGGTGAAGCTGTAGATCTGCTGCACGTTGAGGCCGCAGGGGGGACTGTTTCTTAGTGCCAGTGCTATGAGGTGGAAGTAATGGAGGGGGGGCCGGGGCCAGGGCCTCCCCTCCTGGCTGGTGGCTTGCCGGAGCCTCCGACTCTGGAGGGGGGCCCTTTTGTGAGGGGACAGGAGAGCCACAGAGGAGCGGTCGTGCTGGTCCTTCGCCTCCTCTTCTGTGAGCTAGAGGAGTAGAGTAGGAACTGGTCCTGACTCCATGGCCTGTCCTCGGTGCAGTGGCAGGAAGGGGCCATGGTGCAGGCCATCATCTGGACTGGTCCCCAACCCAAGGGCACAGCTGGTTTCTGAGCCCATGAACCCTGTGGCCCCTGAACACCAGGACTCTGCGATGCATCATCCCTTTGCCCATCCCGCCTGCAACCCCAGAGACCCCCACCTCTGAGCTGCTGGGGGAAGAAGGGAGCTGCTTCCGAGGGGGAGACTGCTCCCTGGAGGACGCAGGCAGCAGCTCCACGGCATCGACCTTTGAGCAGTGGGCACAGTCTTCCTCTTTCGGGGGCAGCGGAGGGGAGGGGAGTATGCTGGTCAAGCCCTCCCCCTTCCTGGGCTGTGAGACCTCCAGCTTTCCAGGGGGAAACACGATGTTGGGGTTCACCCACATCCACAGGTTGGGCTCAGTGTCTGGACCTGTGCAGAGAGAAAGCAGTTTGGGCGCCTTAGCTCATGGCGTTGGAGGTCCACCCCAGGCCTTGGAGCCACCACACCAGAGCACTCACTCCCACACTCACCATCTTCATCAGGGGAGGGGCTTTTCCTCACAGGCAGTTGTGGTGGCTCAACCACACGGAGCCTGTATCTGGCAACTGGCAAAAGACAGACAGAAGAGGGTCAAAACGTCCCAGGACTTCCACTGTGGGCCCAGGGCCCTGGGCTCTGAGGCTTGTGGGCGGGGCCGTAACCCCTGCGTGGGGAGATGTGACCCCATATTCTACTAGTTTTTCCTTCCTTCTCGGACCTCATGCACCTGTGCGTTCTTCTCTTCTCACACTGTACACTGTCCCTGAAGGATCAGAGCGCCTGTGGCTTCAGTCACCTTCTATAAACTCAAATCTTTATCCAGACTTCTCTAGCTCTTTGTTTTAAAAAAATATTTTTAAATTGATTTCAGAGAGGAAGGGAGAGGGAGAGAGATAGAAACATCAATGATGAGAGAGAATCACTGATTGGCTGCCTCCTGGACGCCCCCCTTGGGATTGAGCCCGTAACTCCAGCATATGCCCTGACTGGAATCAAACCCAGGACCCTTCAGTCTGCAGGTGGACACTCAATCCACTGAGCCAAAACTGCTAGGTCTGAACATCATTTCTAAAACTAAACTCCAATTTATTTTTTATTTATTTATTTTTTAGAAGCTGTTTTTTAAAAAAATATATATTTTATTGATATTTTACAGAGAGGAAGGGAGAGGGATAGAGAGTTAGAAACATCGATCAGCTGCCTCTTGCACACTTCCTACTGGGGATGTGCCCACAACCAAGGTACATGCCCTTGACCGGAATCGAACCTGGGACCTTCCGTCCGTAGGCTGACGCTCTATCCACTGAGCCAAACCGGTTAGGGCTAAACTCCAATAAAACTAAACTCCATCTTCCTCCTGGATTCCTGTTTCAGCACGTGGCCCCCACCTCTTAACCAGCCTTTCAGGCCGGGTACTTGGAAATCGCTCTTGACTCTTCTCTGTCCCGGACAGCCACAGCAAATCAACGGTCAAGTCTGATCATCCTAGTCCAGGCCATAATCCAAATGGCCCGTTTATCAGTTTATCCTCTTTTCTTTAACTGATCGTATTACAGTTTGAATGATCGCCCAAACATGTGAACCCAATCTTGTCAGCCTGCGGTAAAGCTTTGAAATGGCTTTCCATTGCCTTCGGGCCAAATCTAAAGATACTCCTTGAGAATGTCCAACATTCCTCCCAGGCCCTCCACCATCTCCCACAGACCACACTCTCGATCCCAGGCCTTCCTACAAGCTGTTTCTTTAGCCAGAAACACTCTTCCTTCTTCCTGTTTGCACAGTTCATTGCTATTGTGGACGAAAGGAGCCACGTGCTAAGCTGACAGCTCAGGGGAGGCCTGCATGGCGGCCTTGCAAACTCAGAGACCTAAAGTCACCACAAAGGATGGTCTGAAATTACACTTGAACTAAAAGCAGTGATGGGGGGTAGTCACCTCCTAGGCCAGTATCTTCACTGACCAGGTCAACCTTTCCCTTAACTGAGCCTTTCTGTCTTTTTGCATCAATGATAACATATCCTTGAAATGTCTGGGTAACTCGTAACTTCCCTTTTTCCAGACCCCTTGGGGCACAACCTAATGTGCTGGGCGCCCAGCACTGTTATCATGTTAATTGTTGACTGTTAGCTATCCTTTACTTTTTATTCAATCACAGAGGTTTCCCACTTTCCTTTCTCCTGCCTCCCTAGTCTATTGCCAATGGATTTCATGTCACCCACCTTCCTCCCTCCTTTGATTGCAATGTGTAAATACAGGTGTAAGCCGCCTTCTCCGGAGCATGATCCCAATCCGTCAGATTCTGCTTCCCGGCAATTGTCGACAGTTTGGCTCAAATAAACTCACAAAATTCTTTCCAGGTTGGAATGTTTTCAGGTTGACACCATCGGGCTTCTCCACCGCTTCCCCGAACCACATGGGCCGGGCTCTGTTGTGCTAGATCCAATTGTCAGCCTGCCGCTCACCAGGCCTCAGCAGCATTCCTCTCAGCTAGCCACGCCTTCCTTGAAACAGTCACTTCCGGTGGGTGCTTTCCCAAGATCAGTCTCGGTTTGGATTTTCAATGGCCCCTTCCTTGGGTTTTGCTGGTTATCTCTCTTCTCTCCAATCTCTTTACAATGTGATGGCCCCAGGGCTCATCCTTGTTCCTTCTCTCTTACCTCTACACCAGACTTTCAAAATCCATACCTGCAGTCCATACCTCCAGAACTCCAGACATATAGTTACCTGCTTACTCAACATTTCTACTTGGATATGGAAAAAGCATTTCAGCTCAGCCTGTCCAGAACAGAATTCCTAGTTTCTTCCTAAACCTGTTCTACCGAAGCTTCTCTCAGTAGAAAGCAACTCCATTCTTCCACTTATTTAGCCAAACACTTGGGAGGAATCACCCTCTAACCTCTCGTACACCACACATCCCCTCTACCATAGACCTAGCTGGTTCTACCTTCTCATCACATCCTCTACTACCATCCTGGTGGCCCAGTCTAGCATCATCTATTGTTTGAATAACTATAATAGCTTTCCAGTAACTAGTCTCCTGGTTTCTAGGATCCTATAATTTGTTTTCTTTGTGTGTGTGTGTGTTAATCCTCACCTGAGGGTATTTTCCCATTGATTTTTTTTTTTTTAAAAAGTATTTTTAATGATTTCAAAGAAGAAGGGAGAGGGGGAGAGAGAAACATTAATGGTGAGAGAATCATTGATTGGCTGCCTCCTGCATGCCCCACACTGGGGATAGAGCCTGCAACCAGGGCATGTGCCCTGCCCGAGAATTGAACCCTCACCTCCTGGTTCATAGGTAGAAAGTCAACCACTGAGCCACACCAGCTGGGCTCCAGTGATTTTTAGAGAGTGGAAAGGAGGGGGAGAGATAGAGAGAAACATCGATGTGAGAGAGACACATCGAATGGTTGCTACCAGAGCTGGGAATCTAGCCTGTAACTGAGGTATGTGTCCTTGACCAGAATTGAACCCGGGACCCTTCAGTCTGTAGGCCAGTGCTCTATCTACTGAGCCAAACCAGCTAGGGCCTAGTTTCTTTATGTGTACAGTGTACCCACAGCACAGCAGCCACAGTGGTCTTTTCAGAATATAGATCATGCCAGATCAGCTACATGACTTGTGGAGCTCCTTGTTAAAAATTTAGTAAAAATCTCGACAGTGACAGCAGCGCATTGAAGTAAGTATAGTCATCCTATGCGACCACACAGGCCACACGCTCAGGAGCTGGTGACTGTCTCCTCAGCTCAAACCCTTCCAGACATGCCACCCCTCACTCAAAGTCAACCCAACGTCCTTAAAGAGGAAGGCAGCTCTTCCTCTCTCCATGCCACACCTGTGAGCCTCCTCTTCGTTTCCTTCACCCAGCAGCACAGGCCTCCTTACTGCTCCTCATACCCTCCAAGCACATTCCTTCCTAGTGGCTTTTGTACTGGCGATTCCTCCCGCCTGGGAAACTCCCTCTAAATGTGGTTCTCTTGGCTCCCTGTCTCACCTCCTTCCACTCGATGCTCAAATATTATGTTCCCAATGAAGCCCAACCTGGTGCCCTGTTTAAAACTGTAGCTGCCACCACCTCCCTGACCCCATTCCGGAGCCCTTCTTACCGTGTCCTTTCCCCTATCCCAGGCATCACCTCTTAACACACGAGTGAGCACATACCTATGGGCTGTCTGTTCCAGGGGAACGGAAGCTCCATGGCAGTGGTCTGTTTCTTTCATTATGGATCAGGAACTGTGCCTAGCAAATCGGAGGTGCTCGCTAAATATTTCTCGAATCAGTGACCACAGGGAACGGCCATCAGCATTGCTATATGGTGGCGAAGAGTTGGAGGCGATCTGGTCTCCTTACTCAAGTGCAGAGTGAGCATCTGCAGAGGGTAGGCTACTGCACAACAGTCACACACAGGGGACCAGGTCTAGTTAGCAACCTGAATAGCTCTCCAAAGAAATGTGATATCACCTGGCCCGCGTGGCTCAGCTATGAGCCAGGAGGTCACGGTTCAATTCCCCATCAGGGCACATGCCCGGGTTGTGGGCTCCATCCTCAGTGTGGGGCATGCAGGAGGCGGCTGATTCTCGCTCATCATTGATGCTTCTCTCTCTCTCCCTCTCCCTTCCTCTCTGAAATCAATAAAAATAGATTAAAAAAGAAACCCCTCTCTCTACCACATGAGGACACAGCAAGAAGAGGACCAGGACGAGCCTTCACAGAAAACAAAAAGAACACAAGGTGGTAAGGGGGAAACGATGAGCATTATGTAAATGAAGGTAACAAAGGAATGCTAAACAGCTGTTAAAGAGACGTCGCCTAACACCATCGCCTCGCTGGGCAAACACAGGGGCGGCCAGGGCAGGGCAGGTGGGGCGGTGACCGAGGGCAGCCGGTGAGTCCGAGTCCTTGGCCCCGACAGGTGGCCAGGGCTCACCGGGACGGGAGGTGGTCGCCTCAACTCCCTGCCCCCCGACGCCGGCCTGCCCTCGGCCAGTGGGGAGCCCTCTAAGCGCCAGACCGTGGGCCCCGGGCGGGGCCGTCCTCACCGTCCTCTCACGGGAGAAGCGTGGCCAACCCTGTGCGCCCGGGAGCAGGGCGAGGGGCGGCTTGGAAGGTCCCGTCGGGCGGGCCGAGCGCGGGCGCCCAGGGCGGGGCGGCTCCGGGCAGGGGGCCTCCAGCTAAGGGGGCGCGGCCCCCACCCCAGGCTGTGGTGGGCTCGCCCGACGGGCCCGCAGCGGGCCCCCTGGCCTGCCCCACCCCCGCCCACCCCCCGGACCCCCGCAGGCTCACGGTTCTGCTCGGCGGGGGGCAGGTGCGCGGTGGTGCCGGCCAGGAAGCACTCGTTGCCCATGTCCCAGTCCCGCAGCCCCGGGACCTGGCCGTGGAGGCCGGCCCAGAGGTCCAGGCGCTGCAGCCGCAGGTCCACCTTCGGAGCAGCCCGGCCCGTGGGCGCGAAGAGGCCGAGGCCCGCGCAGCCGCCTCCAATCCCGCGTGATTGGGTCGGGGCGGCTTCGGCCCGCGCCTCCGGACCCACCGCACCTGCGCTCGGGCCGCTGCGTTTGCACAAACCTCCCTCTGCTGAGTTCGTCTAAGAATGACTCCGAAACAGTATTAACTTCCTACAAGTTCCGGTTGGTTTTAAGGCTTATCCGAGATCGAGTCTGTAGAACATTGTGGAGATGGGATTAAATGGTGCTTTTTTAAATTTATGGATTTCAGAGAGGAAGGGAGTGGGAGAGAGAGAGAGAGAGAGAGAGAGAGAGAGAAACATCAATGATGAGAGGGAATCAGGGATCGGCTGCCTCCTGCAGGCCCCACACTGGGGATCCAGCCCACAACCCAGGCTGTGCCCTGACCGGAATTGAACCCTGACCTCCTGGTTCATAGGTCCACACTCAACCACTGAGCCACGCTGGCCAGGCTTAAATTTTGTTTTTAATAACTTAAAATTTATAGAAAAGTCCTAAGAATACTATAAAAACTCCTGTATACCTAAATATTATAATTTAGCAATTACACTACTGACATTTAATCACATTTAATTTTTTTTCTATATACATATATAGTATTTTTTCTGAGCTGTTTAAGAGTATTTGTAGCCCTAACCGGTTTGGCTCAGTGGATAGAGCGTCAGCCTTCGGACTCAAGGGTCCCAGGTTCAATTCCGGTCAAGGGCATGTACCTTGGTTGCGGGCACATCCTCAGTGGGGAGTGTGCAGGAGGCAGCTGATCGATGTTCCTCTCTCGTCGATGTTTCTGGCTCTCTATCTCTCTCCCTTCCTCTCTGTAAAAGATCAATAAAATATATTTTTAAAAAAAGAGTATTTGTAGACATCATGCCTCTTTACCATTAAAGACTTCAGTGTGTATTTCCTAAAAACAAGGATATTGGCTTACATAACCAGGAAATCAGAAATGAGAACATTGTTGCAATAATATCCTTTTCTTGTTGTTGTTAATCCTCACCCGAGGGTGTTTTTCCATTCATTTTTAGAGAGAGTGGAAGAGAGGGAAAGACAGAGAAAAAACGTCAATGTAAGAGAAACACATCGATTGGTTACCTCCTGTATGAGCCCCACCAGGGCCCGGGCCAGGGAGGAGTTTGCAACCAAGGTACGTGCCCTTGAGTGGAATCGAACCCAGGACCCTTTGGTCCGAAGGCCAACACTCTATCCATTGAGCAAACCAGCCAGGGCCCAATAACATTCTTTATATAAATTTGGTTTTGACCTGGCCGAGTAGCTCAGTTGGTTGAACTGTCCTCCCAATGCACCAAGGTTGCAGGTTCCATCCCAGGTCAGGGCACATACAGTAATGCAACCATTGAATGCATAAATAAATGAACAAATCTATGTCTTCCCTCCCTCCCTCCTTCCCTCCCTCCTTCCCTCCCTCTATTTCTATAAAAATCAATTGAGAAATTTGTTTTCTGGCCTGGCCGGTGTAGCTCAGTGGTTGAGCATTCACCTATGAACCAGGAAGCCACAGTTCGATTCCTGGTCAGGGGGTGGTGGTAGAATGCACAGGAGAATGATGAGCCAGCTCTGAGGGAGGAAAGTTTAACCTTTACTTTGCAGATCAGCTGGTCCAGGGGAATTCTGGATCCACAGCCTGAACTGAACTCATGGGGAGGCTCTGATCTATATATCTCCTCCTGTGGCGGCCCCTGAGGGTCCCCACAGCTCCACCCATTTCAGCTGTGGCAGGCCCTGGGGTGTCAGTCAGAGTGGGGGAGTAAGACTACAGTTTTAACCAGATACTGAACTAGGGTGCACCCCCCCACCCCCACCCCATTTTCCTTTTCAGGTGTGGCTCACTGGATAGAGCGTTGGCCTGCAGACCAAAGGGTCAGGTTCGATTCTGATCAAGGGCAGGTACCTCTGTTGCAGGCTCCTCCCCGGCCCTGGCCCTGGTCGACAAGCGTACAGGGGGCAACCAATGGATGTGTTTCTCTCACATCAATGTTTCTTTCTGTCTCTCCCTCTCTCTTCCACTCTCTCTAACATCAATGGGAAAATATCCTCCGGAGAGGATTAAAAAGATTTTTTTAAGTGAATGAGGTAACTGCTCTTTTCCCTCAGTTACCACACTGTCCTGCTCTTGTCTCTGTCCCCCAGGTTAAATGTCTGCTCCCTCCTTCTAGAGCAGTGATGGCGAACCTTTTGAGCTCGGCGTGTCAGCATTTTGAAAAACTCTAACTTAACTCTGGTGCCGTGTCACATATAGAAATTTTTTGATATTTGCAACCATAGTAAAACAAAGATTTATATTTTTGATATTTATTTTATATATTTAAATGCCATTTAACAAAGAAAAATCAACCAAAAAAATGAGTTCGCGTGTCACCTCTGACACATGTGTCATAGGTTCGCCATCACTGTTCTAGAGCCACTCCAGCCTCTTCTCCATTCCCCCACTTCCAGGACTGGTCTCCTCCTGGTGGCCCTCTGTCTCTCCCTAGTAAGAGCCTCCAATCGCTTCCCCTGTCCCTGCCAGCTGGCACCCGTGCCACCTACCCACAGGCCCTGTGGCCTCTCGGTCCCCTCATGGCCCACCAGCCAGGGCTGGGGGCTCGCTGCGGAGGGTGCACAGCCCCACAGCTAGGTGTGGGTCTGAGGTCTCTGACTCCTGAGTTCCCTCCTCTGGCCCCTTCCTGTCTCCTCAGGAGCTGAGCTACGGGGCAGAGAGGGGCCTGGAAGCGCCGGGCAGCCTAGACGCAGAATCTGTTGCCTCAGGCCAAAGTGGGGGCCACAGACGGAAACACGTGCAGCAGAGGCAGCAGCCAACTTAATTAATTTATTTTTTAAACATATTATTTATTTATTTATTTTTTAAATATATTTTTTAATTGATTTTTTACAGAGAGGAAGGGAGAGGGATAGAGAGCTAGAAACATCAATGAGAGAGAAACATCGATCAGCTGCCTCCTGCACACCCCCTACTGGAGATGTGCCCGCAACCAAGGTACATGCCCTTGACCGGAATCGAACCTGGGACCTTTCAGTCCGCAGGCCGACGCTCTATCCACTGAGCCAAACCGGTTACGGCTAAACATATTTTTTATTAATTTCAGAGAGGAAGGGAGAGGGAGAGAGAAATAGAAACATCAATGATGAGAGAGAATCATTGATCAGCTGCCTCCTGCAGGTCCCCTCCTGGGGATCGAGCCCACAACCCAGGCATGTGCCCCTGACCTGGAATCAAACCAGGACCTCCTGGTTCATAGATCGATGCTCAACCACTGAGTGACACCGGCCGGGCTTTATTTTTTAAAAAATATTTTTTATTGATTTTCAGAGAGAAAGGGGAAGAGAGAGAGAGAGAGAGAGAGAGAGAGAGAGTGAGAGAGAGAGAGAGAGAGGTGAGAGCAAAATATGGATCAGCTGCCTCATGTACACCCCCTGTTGGGGATCAAGCCCATAACTTGGGCATGTGCCCTGACCGGGACTTTGGGGCACAGGATGCCCAACCAACTGAGCCACTTTATTGTCGGAGCTCAGGGCACTGGGTGGGGGGCGGAATTGTTGTTGGAGGCAATTAAGGAAGTGAAAGGGGAGGAAACTCCATTCTGACAGGAGCAGGGTGAGGAAGAGGACAGGGAGAGCTGGGAAACGGAGGCCTGGAGACAAGGGGTGGAGCAAAGGGAGGAGGGCGAGGGGAGCTAAGGCACCACGGAGCCAGACCAGTGATGAGGACGGGGAACAGGCCGGCTTGTCAGGAGCAAAGGCCCAGCTCTGGACCGGAGAGCTGGCCAGTGCTGACCTACTGGCCGAGCCCCCTGTGCCCACTCGGCCTCCTCACTTCCGGGCGCCCAGTGCCAGGGCCACGATGAAGCCCACGACCAGCAGGAACATGGCGACGGACAGCAGCACCGTGATGACCACCATGCCCCCCGTGCGGGCCATCCCCAGCCCAATGGAGGCCCCCTTGCGTCCTGTGGGGGGAAGCCGGGAGGTCTGAGGGCGCTCAGCTTGCTGCCTCCTCCAGCCATTCCGCCAGGCGCCCTTTCATCTGCCTATTCATCCAGCATCCAACGGCCATCCAAGGATCCAGACATCCACCCAGTAACCGTCGAGGGAGCAACTCCTGCATCACTCACGTCACTCACGGAGGCTACAGAAATCAATCGCACCCGGTCCCCCCACAGAGAACCTTCAGTTCAGCAGGAAGATGAGTCCACACAGTGAAAATGTCCAGGGCTGGCCCTGGCTGGGTGGCTCAATTGGTTAGAGCGCTGCCCCAACACGCCAAGGGTGCGGGTTTGATCCCCAGTCAGGGCACATACAAGAAGCAACCAATGAGTGCATAAATCAGTGGAACAACAGATCAATGCCTCTCTCTCTCATCAATCAATTAAAAATAAATAAATAAATAAAATAAAATGCCCAGGGCTCGGTGCTAGGATAGAGGGGGGCAAAGGCGCTATGGGAGCCCCAGGGGGGCTGGCGGTGCTGGGAAGGGCCAGGGGCGTCTGCGGCTGGAGCTGAGAGGGAGTGGGTTACTCACGCGGAAGGGTGGACATGGGGACCTCTCGGCTGGACTCAGTGGCTGTCCCCTTCTGCACCCGGTAGGAGACGCTTTTGGGGGTGGAGGGTTAGGAGAGAAAGGAGAGAGGATCCTCAGGGAGCGTCTGGGACTTGGGAGAAGAGGGACATCAGCCAGGTCTCCCCAATTGCCTCCACGGTGCCTCCTCTGGGAGAGGCCTGTTCTTTTTTATTCTTTAAATATATTTTTATTGATTTCAGAGAGGAAGGGAGAGGGAGAGAGAAACATCCATAAGAGAGAATCACTGATTGGCTGGAGAGGCCCGTTCATGAGCCTTTAGCTATGCCCTCTTTCCCCAAGGTGACCACATCCCACCACGACCGCCACCTGCCAGGACCCGGCACCCCCTCGCTCCCCCGAGGGCCCAGGCCTGGACCTGGCACCTACTAGTATTTGGTTCCTGGCGCCAGGTTTGTCACCTGGTATGCCCTGAGCCGGGTGACCGTGAAGCCAGCCCCGCTGTCCACCACACTCACCAGCTCCCTTCGCCCACGGCAGGGGGGCACCACAAAGCCAGCTGTCACCACTGCGGGGAATCGGGGTGAAAGGCCGTCAGGCTGCTGGAGGCCCCGAGGAGAAGGGGCAGTTAACAGTGTGGGCCCAGCAGGGGGGTCGGTCGAGGGAAGGCGCGCGTGGGAGCAGGCATGCTGGGGGCGCTCTGGAAAGGGCCCGGGACGCCAGGGACAGGGGAGCAGACCTGTGCTGTCATTGGCTCTCCGGACCATCAGGGTGGCGTTCCCCCCTGTGAGGTGGCAGGGCGGCAGGGCAACCAGCAGGCTCTCCGCTAGCGCCGGGGACAGCAGGCCGGAGAGGCTTGAGATGTTGAAGACTGCTGAGGGGCCAGGAGGAAGTTAGGTGGCCCCCCCACTGTCAGACCTGCCCGCCCCCCTTAGTTGCCTCTCCCACCCTGCGGGCCATTGGCAGAACACGGACCTTTGCTGGTCCGACCGCCAGGTGGCAGGCGTGGGCTGCAGAAGCTGGGTACCCTACAAACCTGCAGATCCAGTGGGCCCAGCCTCACCCCTACCAGCCTCGGACCCTTCCCAAGGCCGCTCAGCCTCCTGGGCCAGGACAAGGACAGGAGTGTGCACTGGGCTCAGTGGCCGATGGCTTCAATGACCGATGACCAGTCACTGCCATCGCCAGTCCCCACCCCCGACTGACCAGGTGAGCCCCCCTTTCTGAGTCTGGAAGGCACAGGGGGGCACCGCCCCCGTCCAGGCCCAGCCCCCCTCCCCCCAAATGGCAGAGACCTGCAGCCCCCGGGTCCAGGACAACCATCAGGACCAGGGTCAAGGGCAAGGTCCGGCTGGGTAGCAGGGATGCCATAGCTGGGCCGGGAGCTGGAATGGATGCTGGCGGCTGGGGCTTCCGGAGGCAAGTGATGCCTTGCCCCTGGGGCTGCCGGTTTTGTCCTGGGGCGGGAGGGGCTGGACAGGAATCTTGTCCAACCTGCCCCTTGGGCTTTCCAGCCTGGGGGGCGGTGGGGGGGCAGACAGGTTTTTCAGGATGGGGAGTGGCCCTCAGGCCCAGAGTAAGCATCTTGGTGGCTTAGTCAGCTGCAGAGGGGGTGGTGGTGGTAACTAAGGTGGGGGGAGGGGTGGAAATCCCCCCTTCTTCTGGGCCCCACACCTGGAAGGGCACCCATGGTTTTGCTGCCTGTGCGTCTGGAGCCCAGCCTGCGGAGGACGGCTCCCCTCGTCTTGGGAGGTCTCTGAGGGCAGCGAGCTCTGGGGGTGCCCTGGGCTCAGGAAGAGGGGAGCAACTCCCAGGGCTCCTGGCAGGCCTTGGCTGGGCAAGAATGGAGGCTGGTCGTGGGCCGCAGCGCCAAGGGCTCTAATTCTGGCCCGGCCAGCCTGGGTCAGTGGTTGAGCGTCAACCTATGAACCAGGAGGTCACAGTTCGATTCCCGGTCAGGACACGGGCCCAGGTTGCAGGCTGGATCCCCAGTGGGGGGCGTGCAGGAGGCAGCCCATCCATGATTCTCTCATCATTGATGTTTCTATCTCTCTCTCCCTCTCCCTTCCTCTCTGAAATCAATAAAAACATATTCTACAAAAGGGGGCTCTAATTCTGAGTGTTCCCTGCGGCCCAGGTCTTGCTGTGGGAGCGTATAGGGAGGTGATGCTGGGAGTGTAAGGGGAGGGGAGCAGGGGGCGCCAGGGAAGGCTTCGGAGAGCCCAGTCCCCCGGGCGGCGTGGACATGGGCAGCCATGCTCAGCAGCCTTGTTGAACTGTTTGAGAAGAAACAAGACAAAGAGACCTGGTAAGAGAAAATGAAGACGAGTCGCCCCTCTGGCTGCACCCGGACCCCTGAGGATGGAGCCCGCAACTTGGGCATGCGCCCTGGCTGGGAATCGAACCGTGACCTTCTGGCTCATAGGTCGATGCTGAGGGGGACAGAATGGTGAGCAGAGGGGAGCATTTGTCCTCCCGCGTCCTGGACAGTGGGGGGCACTAGCTCCCCTTTGTAGACGTGGAAACTGTGGACACTGTCAGAGGGGACGGAGACACCCACAGAAGCTGATGTGTCTGTCTATCCTCGCCTGAGGGTATGTTCTTATTGATTTTAGAGAGAGAAAGGGAGAAGGAGAGAAGGAGAAACATCGATGCCAGAGAGAAACATTGAGCAGTTGCCTCCCCTACTCGCCCTGACCAGGGATGGAACCTGCCACCGGGGGATGTGTCCTGACTGGGAATCAAACCGGCAACCTTTTGGTCTGTGGGACAACACTGCAACCCACGGAGCCAGGGCTTTCTGTATGTCCTTTTGCTGCATGAACCCTTCTGTCTCTCCCAGTCCCAGTGCGGGTCGGGGTCCTGGCAGGAAAGCGAGGGACGGTGGGCTGTGCCCTTACTCCTGTGGTGGGGGGGGAGGGGCACAGCCTGGGGTGCAAGCAAGGGTGACAGTGAAGAGTGGGTCGGGGGACCTCAGACCAGTGCTTCTCCAAATTTAATGTGCATCTGCTCCAGGCATTTAAAAAATATATATTTTTTTATTGATTTCAGAGAGGAAGGGAGAGGGAGGGAGAGAGAAACATCAATGATGAGAGAGAATCATTGGTCGGCTGCCTCCTACACACCCCACAATGGGGATGGAGCCCACAACCCGGTCATGTGCCCTGACTGGGAATCGAACCGTGACCTTCTGGCTCATAGGTCGATGCTCAACCACTGAGCAACACTGGCCGGGCAGGCCTTTTGTTAAAATGCAGGTTCTGGTTCAGTGGGTCTGAGGTGAGGCCTGAAGTCCTGCATTTCTAACGAGCGTCCAGGTGACACTGGTGATGCCAGTCTGAGCGGCTCCCACTCGGAGTTGCTAGAGGCTCTGTGGGCTTATGTCCCGGCACCCCCCCTCCCCGCCCCCCCGCCTCTCTGATGGAGACCAGGGCAAGTTTCCCCGTCTCCTGGGACAGGCTGCCTTCCTGAAGAATGGAATTGTTTTTCTCACACCTTGGCCTTTGTCCTCTTTTAGATCAGATTCTACCATCGTTGTACAAACGGAAGGAGGATCTTTGTACCCTGAGTAGAACTTCAGAGGGAGGAAACCGACTAGAACTGACTAGTTCTCAACCTGTGGGTCGCGACCCCTTTGGCCGTCAAACGACCCTTTCACAGGGGTCGCCTAAGACCATCCGGCATATCAGATATTTACATGACGATTCATAACAGTAGCAACATTACAGTTATGAAGTAGCAACGAAAATAATTTTATGGTTGGGTCACAACATGAGGAACTGTATTTAAAGGGCCAGAAGGTTGAGAACCACTGGACTAGAAGGCAGGACTCCAGGGGGAAGGGGACCTTCCTGGGGCTCTTCAAATCGGGGGTGTCCCTGAGCCAGGAGGATGCTTACTCTAAGGCTTGGGAAGTGTCTGTCTCCATGTCAGTCACAAACCAGGGAGCAGAAAGGGGAAGAAGTTGGGTTTATTGCAGGGTGGGTTGTGTTGGGCCCACTCCAAAGCCACAGCCACATCTGAAACTATGAGTGGGACAGAGTGGGGTAGGGGAGGCCAGAGCTTGGACCAGCATTTAAAGGGATAAGAGGGCCCTGTAGCTTTAAACCCGCCCTTTTCCTTCCAACCCCCGCCCCCCCCCCCCACCCTGGCCCTCCCCAGGTTCCTGGAGGAGCTGAGAGTTGTGTCTTCTTCCTGCCCTGCCAAGCTGCTCACTGGTGGCTCTGGAGGCTGTGCTTTGTGGTCTCCATGGAAACCATTAGTTGCTAAGCAACTGGAGCATCATCTGTGCTGAGCTCTCACATCTAATTATCCCATCACAGCAGAGGAGAAGGGTTTGGGGAGCTGAGAGGAGGGGAGGCCAAGCTCAGGAGTGAGAGGATAACTCTCTTAGCCTCTTAGCTGAGCAGACTCCTTGGCTACACGGAGGCCCCTGGAAGCCACAGCCCCCCGCCGCTCCGGAGAATTTTCTCTGGGCTTGGAGTCAGCAAACTAGAAGCACAAGTGCTGGTGTCTCAAGCCTGGACCCACGCTCTCTAGGCTGTCTCCCTGCGCTGGGTTCTCAATCCTAAACTCCATCAAGTTCCCTCCCCGCCTCTTTCCTTCTAAGTTCCATATTCAAGTTAACAAATATGTATTGAGTATCCGATATGTCCCTGGCCCTGTGCGAGGCACCAGGGATGGGCAGGTCAGAGAAGTTCTGCCCCCAGGGAGCTCCCAATCTCCCTCTGCTGCTTGGACTGGCTTCCTCCCAGCGCAGACCCGCTCTTTCTGAACAACAGCACTTTTTTTTTCTTGACTCTGGTCGTTTTGCAGCTGTAAGACCTCAGCTGAGAGCCCAGGTCTGTGGGCTGCACTGCGGTTTTCTCCCCCTAAAGCCACCCTCTGCCCCCAGGGCCTTAGCAAAGTGGGCCCATGGGCTCCAGGGGCCTGTCAGCCTCTCTTAGGGGCTCTTGCTGATGAGTGGTGCCATAGGCTTTAGGTAAGTCACTCTGAACCTCCATTTTCTCACCTAAAATGGGAAGACTCATTCCTTCCCATTCCTCTAGCAACATATGACAGGTGTAAAAAATAAAGGTGCAGGCCCTGGCTGGTTGCTCAGTGGTTAGAGTGTCAGCCTGCAGACCAGACCAAAGGGTCATGGGTTTGCTTCCCATTCAAGGGCATGTACCGCAGTTTCCGGTTTGATCCCCAGGCCTGGTCAGGGCACGTGCAGGAGGCAACCAATCGATGCCTCTCTCTCATGTCGATGTGTCTCTCTCTCTCTTTCTCCCTCGCCCTCCTTTCTCCCTTCCACACTTTCTAAAAGTCAATAGGAAAAAATATCCTCGGGTGAGGGTTAACACGCACACGCACACGCACACGCACACGTGCAGGAGAAATGCAGGAGATCCTTGCCCTGATCTGTAGGACGCACTGGGAGAGACCCTGGGCTGAGCCTGCAGGTGAGACGCAGTGCTCGCCAGAAGTTGGTCCCATGGGACATGGCAAGGCCTCTGTCCTAGAGACCTGAGGCTGGAAGAGGCCATGAGAATGACAAATCTCCGTCACTCAGTTGGAAACGACACGGATGCTCCATTTTCTTTCTAATGTTACCCACGTCTGCTTCCAGCTTCACAGCTTTGGCCAAATTACCCATGTAGCTACCCTGAGCGGCAGTTTCCTCATCTGTGGGAAGGGTAGACAGTCTGTCTCGCCCGGATACTGCGTCTGTCACTCAGTTAATTTATGAAAGAGTGTCTAGCACAGGATCTGGTTCAATAAATATTAATTTGAATAATTAATCTTCTCCTTTCCTTTTTATTAACCCTTCGTGCAGGTAGGACACAGAGGCAACTCATTATTTTCCCAAAGTTATAGAGTGAGTAGGGAAGGAGATGGCATAGAAGTTAGAATCTGCGTGGCTCAATGACTGAGCGTCGACCTGTGAACCAGGAGGTCAGGATTCAATTCCCGGTCAGGGCACAGTGCGGGGTGTGGAGGAGGCAGCCCATCAGTGATTCTCTCTCATCATTTATGTTTCTATTTCTCTCTCCCTCTCCCTTGCTCTCTGAAACCAATAAAAATATGTTTTTTGGGGAAAAAAAGAAATTAGAATTTGTGTCCCCAGCTGTGTCACTGGTACAGAGGGAGGTGGGTGGGTAGGAAAGGCAGTGGGTTTGGAGGGGTGCCAGGGATGGGGCGTGCGGTGCCCTGTACAGCAAGCGTGCCGCGGGTCTGGGCGCACAGGAAACATCTTGCTCAGTGAGCGTCTGCTGAACAGTAACTCTGTGCGGGGTTGCCGGTGGTAAGGTACAGAGATGATAAGACATCATTGCTGCTTTCAAGTTGCTGAGTCTTAAAAAGTGAACCAGAGTTAGCCTGGTTGAAATATGGAAGGAGAGAGTCTAAAAAGGGGGAGCAGCCCTGGTCGGGTGGCT